TATATATATATATATATATGTTTTTATTTAGCTTCATATCAACACACAATTGTATTGAAGGAAGGAGTTCTTTGTTCTAAAACCAAATTAAGATGAAGATTATCATTTCAATTTTAATCATTATGCTCGTGTTTTCTGTTGGAATTGGTATGGTTTGCTATTCACTTGGTCACTAATTTAAGATTTTAGTTTTTTTTTATTTATTTATATTCAATTGTTTCTAACAAGTTTCTGAATTTGAGATTAGTTTATGGCATTGTATTGACCATTGTCTGTGTATTGCATAAAAAATGAAGGGCCAATGAAAGTGATAGAGGCAAGAATATGTAAAGAAAACAACATAGATTATGATTGTCAAGAAAACACGTGTAAAGAAAAATGCCAAAGAGTACATGGAAACTTAGCTATTGGTGCGTGCATAACTCATGAAGATTGCGTGTGTCATTTTCCTTGTTAAATGTTGACCCTTTTTCTCTCGCATTATCCCTATCAATGTTAGTTTATGTAACAAGCATTGTTGGAATGAAATAAAATAAAATTATCATTTTGGGGTTATATATATATTCATTTATTTATTTTTCTACTTCTAATACCTTTTTAGAGTATGAATATTTTTCATTCTATGGACGCTTCAAGTTTAGTATGTTTTGAAAATTGAAATACAATTATTAAAAATAATTTCATTAAATATATATATATATATTGTTAAATATAATAATATATATAGCACGATTACATATAGAATGAAGTTTCCATCAAAGTTTCTTAAGAAAAAGTATTGAAACAAAATCTTTGAAATAAACCAGTGTTCAAGAAAGTTGACTACATATATTCATAAAAATGATTATTTCTAATTAAATGTGTAAAATTAAAATAACTTAAAAATATTTGATAAATATATAAAGATAGCACGATTATTAATCAATTTTACTTAAAATATAAAATAAATTGTGAAAATTAAATTTTACATGGCAGTTGATCCTGCACCTATATATATACTACACCAATTTTAATAATTTTGCCAAATCACTATAAAATTTATTGGATTTTTCCCTTAGATTTATAATATAGGAACAAACAATGTCATTTTTCTCAAAGACACAAGTTAATTGAATCTAAATTTATCACATACTATTAGGAATGGGAATTTTATAAAAAACTGAATAGAAATTACAATTGAATTAAAACATAAAACAGAAAATTAATTAATTAAACTTTTCAATAAAAAAATGTATCAATTGAAAATTTTAATCCTTGGGCAAAATTGTCACAGTTAAACATATAATCTGAATTAAATCAACCTTAAATTAACACGAATGTAATTAAAATGTTGAGCTAAATCTAGATTTATTGAATTTCACAAAAAGTAAGATGTAATTATGATCTCACAATTTCTGTGAAATTCAAGAACGATAAACAATTGACTTAATTATGTGATTTAGGCTATTTTAGATTTGGATTCAAATCTAGATTTAGATCCAAGAAGTAAAATTGAATCTCAGTTCTGGATTTATTTGAAAAGGAATTCATCACCATGAAAATGAAAAATAGATCTAGAATAGAGAAAAGGACGAAAATAATTCATATAGCAAAATTAGATAGAAAACTCAAAATTTACTACAATTCATGAAATCATGGATTGATTGAACAGACAAGGCATGCATCTCAACTGAGGTGCTATAGTCAATTCGTGTAGAATAATTAGAGAGAAAAATCCGAGAGAGACAAACAGAGAAATTTCTGTAGAGGATGCAACTCTAAAAATTTGAATATGATTAAATGTATGTATGACAAGTCTTATAATAACTATTTAAAGATCAAATTAGCTGGCCTAATCAAAATATTTACCAATCTCGACCCATTGATCAACTAACACTATTACAAAAAAGATCTTTAACAACAATTAATTAATAAGGTCTTTAACAACACTTTTGTGAGCTATCAATGCCCTTGCTATTAGAGGGGGTCTACCTTCAACAGCACAATAAAAGTGCTATAATAGAACAAAAATAGATAACATTTATAATAAACAAGTGCTATTGTACGATCCTTTTAGACAACACTTATTTTTCAAAAGTGCTATCATAAGCCCTTTTAATTAAACAACACTTGTTTAAAATAAATAGGTCATAGGACCTATTTAGATAGCACTTGTAATAAACAAATGTTGTCATAGAATCCCTTGTTGGTCAGAATCCTTCACCGGTCAGAACCCTCCGTTGGTAGCCTTTTTTGAGATATCCATCCGCTTTTAGGATCAACGACTGACCCTACAAATCAACAAAAGACTTTTCAGCATGCTTTTTTCTTCACTCGCACATTTTTTAGGAGACTTCTTAGAAGGTCACCCATCCCTAAATTACTCCAAATTAAACACACTTAACTATAGAGTTCTTATGAGATAACTTGCTGAAAAGTAGATGCATCTTGTTGATATAAATAGTACAAATTAATTTTTTTAAGTCATTCTCAACTATAAAAATCTTATACTTGTACAATCTTTGGATAAATATTTCTAATTAACCTTTTTCTAATATATTTATCTTATTTATTATTCTTTTTGTATTTGTAAAAATATAGTAATATATAATTAATTATATTTATGAAATATTTAGTTTATCTATAAATATATTAGTAATGATAATATTGATATTAATATTTATGGATAACATATGCCTATAACAATAATAATATGTATAAATTTTATTTATTTAGTAATGAAAATTATATATCATTTGACATGAATGAAAATTATAATATATGTAATATAAATATGTCAACAATTGAATAAATTCAAAACATTATTTATAATAATAATAATAATAATAATAACAAATAATTTTTAAATTATTAGAATTTTAATGGAAACTAGGGACTTAAATCTTACAATTGCAATATTTGATGGATTAAATTTTTTTATTAGAATTTAAGGAAACTAAATCATACAACTACAATACTTGGAGAAATAAAATTGCTCAATTAAAACTTTGGTCATTAAAATCAAATAATCGCAATATTTAAGGAAACAAAAATGTAATTAAACCTTTTTGAAAATTGGACACTACTTATTATTAAAAATAATTTTAAAGACTTATACTATATCACCACTTTTTTTATTATATCAGCACTCTTTATTGATATTTATTATTATTTTTAAAAATGGTGGACAACTTGTTATTAAAAGTGTTATAAAAAATTAGTTTTATAAAACTACTTTTTATTGAAGGTGTTGCTTATTATTATTTTTAAAAAGTGCACATCACTTGTTTTTAAAAGTTCTATCAAAGACTTATTCTATAACACCATTTTTTTATTGAAGGTGTTGTGTATTATTATTTTTAAAAAGCGGACGACACTTATTTTAAAAAGTGTTATCAAAGACTTATTCTATAACACTACTTTTTATTGAAGGTGTTGTCTATTATTATTTTAAAAAAGGTGACAATACTTATTTTTAAAAGTGTTATCAAAGACCTATTCTATAACACCACTTCTTTATTGAAATGTTATTAAATATAGCCCAAACCGTAAGTAGATTGAGTTTCACTAACTTTTACAAAGCTACAAGTATTCTCTTACCAAGCCACTTTTGGTTGAATTTTAAGTAGTTTTTGACTTGTCTCTTTAAGCAACTACTCAAGTATTCTTTGAACAACAAGCCTCTCCAAGCTTAGCACCAAGTATTCTTTCAACCTAGCCTCTCTAGGCTCAACACTAAGTATTTTTTTGACCAAGCATCTTCAGGCTCAACCCTTACAACAAGGTAATGAATGATTACAAAATGGTTTCGTCTCTTCTAAACATGGTGTAATCAACAATTAAAGCATAAGTAATCTATAAAAAAAAATATGTATAAGATTTACAATAATGCTTCTTTGTAGTATTTCAACTCTATTTTTCTAAGTTTGTTTTGGAATTTAAAGTCATTACAGACTTGTATTCCTGTGTCAATAATAATACTATGTATTTGTCCATACATAAGGGTATTAAAGGGTATTGGTTTACCAAAATGAATTTCTAATTTTATCTTGACCTTTTCATAAAATAGTTTTGGTAATCTTGCAAGGAATCTTTCTTTCCAAAATCCTTGAAAACCATCTTCTCTTAAGGTAATTTTAGACATAAATATGTCTCTATACCATTGGTAATCAGACATTGTTGGACAATAGAGATTTGCTAGTTGACTAGCTGCTCTATCTTTAAAAGTATTGAGATCTCCTACAAAGTGTTGAATAATAGTATAAATGAGGGTAGCAACTGCATCCTCTTCACCAGTTTCTAATTTTACTGCATTTAATATTGATTCTCTATCAGCCTGTGTCCAAAAATTATCCCACCAACCTTTAAGTTGGCTAGTAAATCCTTGGACTATTGTTAAGGCGGTAGCCTTGTCAGAGTTTCCTCTTCTCTTGTAGGCACTAGCTGCCATAGACATCATACAAATATGATCTAGTAAATTTTGTTCACTCATACCATCTATATTCCATTCAACAATATCACTTCCTGAATAACAATTTTGTACTAATTCTCCACGTTCTTCGTAAAGAACATCTGCTGGAGAAGGCCTAGGATAATAAGTTCTTGTTTTTGGATAATGAGTTTTAATTTTATTAACTGAAAAATCATTTGTATCTATGGTATTGATTGAAGGTTTTCCTAATGTTAATTTAGATAATAAATCTTTTATTTCTTCAATTTTTGAATCACTTTCACTTCCTAATTTTAATGAGTCTATATGTGTATTTAACTGATATATTGGTTTAACTAATGGTTTTGGAATACTGGTAACTATACTACTAGATGGAGTATCTCTATCTTCTATTCTTGTTGTGACACCCTTACTACCCCAATACATATATTGTAATAATGAAAACTTACAAATAAATTTTTCAATTTCGGTAAAAGGGTTCACATGAGAATCTTCAAAATTATCCTTCAATAACCTCAATAATAAAAATGAAACGCAAGAGTTTATAAATTATTTTCAAAAATAACATTTACAATTCCAAATCCAAATAAAAACATATGTTCTAAATATCCTCTGCCCCGATGTCACAATATCAGAGCATCCCCAAGCTTAGCACCAAGTATTCTTTCAACCTAGCCTCTCTAGGCCCAACACTAAGTATTCTTTTGACCAAGCATCTTCAGGCTCAACCCTTACAACAAGGTAATGAATGATTACAAAATGGTTTCGTCTCTTCTAAACATGCTGTAATCAACAATTAAAGCTTAAGTAATCTATAAAAAAATATGTATAAGATTTACAATAATGCTTCTTTGTAGTATTTCAACTCTGTGTATTTTTTGTATGTTTCTCTATACAAACTTTTATA